TTATAATGTGACGGTCACTCCCACTATTCGTTGGTAAAAGAGTCGCCCAAGAGTTGGCGGAGGGTGGTGATGACTACCTGCCTTCACTCTAGTCTTACACTGCTAAATTAGGGACGGCTAGCGCAGATAACCCTCATGTGCGAAATTCAAAAAACAAACAAATCTATTTTAAAACAAAATATTTATATTTGTAAGTTACTCAAATTAACTAGTGTTAACAAATACGGGTGGGCGTGTACAAATTAAATTACAGAATTAGTTAAAAGTGAATAGAACTGTTCCTACAGACCACTGGTTTTTCACTCAGAATCACGCAATTGTATATGGTTTACTCTAGTATTTCATGTTTTTAATCCAAGAGATGAACCATCATTTTATCAGTCATATATAATAAATGTAAAAGGACCAAATGGGTGTCTCCTAATTAATTTTATAGTGTTTACAGCACGAATAGCACTTTTGATAATTATCAGAATGATCTTCTGAATTCAGATCACGGAAATATGAATTCCGGTCTAATTCCTAATGTTCAGGAATTCAAAACATGTCTCTAAGTTTTATCAATCCCAAAAGTTGTAGATTATTATATCAGTAACGTAATAATATCTAACTCTACCTCGATTTAGAGAACTATTAGATGTCAAATGAGGGCCTGGTTTCTCGAATTGAATAAGTTCAATGGATCAGTTAAATTATAGGTAGTTGAGCTCTTTTGCAAGGTAGACCTTCGGAAAAAACTCGAATTTTCTGGATTTGTTAATTCTAACATATCTTTTTTATCATATACACTTTCTAACTGTCATAAGGTAAAAAACAATGGATCAAATATGAATTTCATTGCAATATTTGCTTTACTCAGTCGTGTGAGAGTTGCGTACGTGTGTATATATATATACATATAATCAACCAAAGAATCTCATGTTTTGTAAGTCGGTTCATCAGATCATTTCTTCATTCATTGAAAAGTTACTGCCTTCCCGAGTAAGAGCCTCAATTTTTTTTTTCAATTTAATTATATCTTTGGCTCTTCTTTTGTCTTTCCCTATAAGCACAAGGACTAAACGCTCAGGTCAGAGACCTTTATGGTACAGTTATAGCCGTCCCTAATGTTGAACTACTGATCAGAGGGAATCTTGTTACACAAATGAAACTGTCTTAATGGGTCATCGTCTGTCATTTCCAACTGTTGAACTTGTGTCTTCTCTTTGTATTATCTTCAGAATACAATGCAAAGAAATCAGAAGTTTTTATCCTACCGATCCCACGATAATCTTGTAAACTTCAATAAGACCACATCTTATCTGTCTTTTTTTAGTTGTTTATCAAGAGAAAATAATTAAGAGGACTTAACCTTTCCCAATAAAATAGACCTTACATTACTGTGGTGGGTAAAATACTATCGAAAACACCATACATATAAAATCGAATGTTGTTGCACCATATATATACACCTGGAAAAAAGTTAAGCACCC